GCTCTTGGTGGTTCTGTACAAGGCAGGCTACACCGCTTTGTGGAGAACCAGTTTGGTGCGTGTGCGTACCTGCGGGGGTCCTGGGGCTGCCCTGGGTGGTTGAGGATGTTGCAGAATCAATCACGCCGCTCAGAGATGCACTTGTCATTGCTATAAAAAGATGGGAAATAAAAGAAAACGAATGAGTCACATGGAAGCACCAGGAGCGACGGACGCAATGAGATGCTCTTGGTGGTTCTGTACAAGGCAGGCTACACCGCTTTGTGGAGAACCAGTTTGGTGTGTGTGCGTACCTGCGAGGGTTCTGGGGCTGCCCTGGGTGGTTGAGGATGCCACAGAATCAATCACACCGCTCAGAGATGCGCTTGTCATCGCTATGAAAAGATGGGAAATAAAAGAAAACGAATGAGTCACATGGAAGCACCAGGAGCAACGGACGCGATGAGATGCTCTTGTTGGTTCTGTACAAGGCAGGCTACACCGCTTTGTGGAGAACCAGTTTGGTGCGTGTGCGTACCTGCGGGGGTCCTGGGGCTGCCCTGGGTGGTTGAGGATGCCGCAGAATCAATCACACCGCTCAGAGATGCGCTTGTCATCGCTATGAAAAGATGGGAAATAAAAGAAAACGAATGAGTCACATGGAAGCACCAGGAGCAACGGACGCGATGAGATGCTCTTGGTGGTTCTGTACAAGGCAGGCTACACCGCTTTGTGGAGAACCAGTTTGGTGCGTGTGCGTACCTGCGGGGGTCCTGGGGCTGCCCTGGGTGGTTGAGGATGCCGCAGAATCAATCACACCGCTCAGAGATGCGCTTGTCATCGCTATGAAAAGATGGGAAATAAAAGAAAACGAATGAGTCACATGGAAGCACCAGGAGCAACGGACGCGATGAGATGCTCTTGGTGGTTCTGTACAAGGCAGGCTACACCGCTTTGTGGAGAACCAGTTTGGTGCGTGTGCGTACCTGCGGGGGTCTTGGGGCTGCCCTGGGTGGTTAAGGATGCCGCAGAATCAATCACACCGCTCAGAGATGCGCTTGTCATCGCTATGAAAAGATGGGAAATAAAAGAAAACGAATGAGTCACATGGAAGCACCAGGAGCGACAGACGCAATGAGATGCTCTTGGTGGTTCTGTACAAGGCAGGCTACACCGCTTTGTGGAGAATCAGTTTGGTGCGTGTGCGTACCTGCGGGTGTCCTGGGGCTGCCCTGGGTGGTTGAGGATGCCGCAGAATCAATCACACCGCTCAGAGATGCGCTTGTCATCACTATGAAAAGATGGGAAATAAAAGAAAACAAATGAGTCACATGGAAGCACCAGGAGCAACGGACGCGATGAGATGCTCTTGGTGGTTCTGTACAAGCCAGGCTACACCGCTTTGTGGAAAACCAGTTTGGTGCGTGTGCGTACCTGCGGGGGTCCTGGGGCTGCCCTGGGTGGTTAAGGATGCCGCAGAATCAATCACACCGCTCAGAGATGCGCTTGTCATCGCTATGAAAAGATGGGAAATAAAAGAAAACGAATGAGTCACATGGAAGCACCAGGAGCGACGGACGCAATGAGATGCTCTTGGTGGTTCTGTACAAGGCAGGCTACACCGCTTTGTGGAGAATCAGTTTGGTGCGTGTGCGTACCTGCGGGGGTCCTGGGGCCGCCCTGGGTGGTTGAGGATGCCGCAGAATCAATGACACCGCTCAGAGATGCGCTTGTCATCGCTATGAAAAGATGGGAAATAAAAGAAAACGAATGAGTCACATGGAAGCACCAGGAGCAACGGACGCGATGAGATGCTCTTGGTGGTTCTGTACAAGGCAGGCTACACCGCTTTGTGGAGAACCAGTTTGGTGCGTGTGCGTACCTGCGGGTGTCCTGGGGCTGCCCTGGGTGGTTGAGGATGCCGCAGAATCAATCACACCGCTCAGAGATGCGCTTGTCATCACTATGAAAAGATGGGAAATAAAAGAAAACAAATGAGTCACATGGAAGCACCAGGAGCAACGGACGCGATGAGATGCTCTTGGTGGTTCTGTACAAGCCAGGCTACACCGCTTTGTGGAAAACCAGTTTGGTGCGTGTGCGTACCTGCGGGGGTCCTGGGGCTGCCCTGGGTGGTTAAGGATGCCGCAGAATCAATCACACCGCTCAGAGATGCGCTTGTCATCGCTATGAAAAGATGGGAAATAAAAGAAAACGAATGAGTCACATGGAAGCACCAGGAGCGACGGACGCAATGAGATGCTCTTGGTGGTTCTGTACAAGGCAGGCTACACCGCTTTGTGGAGAATCAGTTTGGTGCGTGTGCGTACCTGCGGGGGTCCTGGGGCTGCCCTGGGTGGTTGAGGATGCCGCAGAATCAATCACACCGCTCAGAGATGCGCTTGTCATCGCTATGAAAAGATGGGAAATAAAAGAAAACGAATGAGTCACATGGAAGCACCAGGAGCAACGGACGCGATGAGATGCTCTTGGTGGTTCTGTACAAGGCAGGCTACACCGCTTTGTGGAGAACCAGTTTGGTGCGTGTGCGTACCTGCGGGGGTCCTGGGGCTGCCCTGGGTGGTTGAGGATGCCGCAGAATCAATCACACCGCTCAGAGATGCGCTTGTCATCGCTGTGAAAAGATGGGAAATAAAAGAAAACGAAGGAGTCACATGGAAGCACCAGGAGCGACGGATGCAATGAGGTGCTCTTGGTGGTTCTGTACAAGGCAGGCTACACCGCTTTGTGGAGAACCAGTTTGGTGTGTGTGCGTACCTGCGGGGGTCTTGGGGCTGCCCTGGGTGGTTGAGGATGCCGCAGAATCAATCACACCGCTCAGAGATGCGCTTGTCATCACTATGAAAAGATGGGAAATAAAAGAAAACGAATGAGTCACATGGAGGCACCAGGAGCAACGGACGCGATGAGATGCTCTTGGTGGTTCTGTACAAGGCAGGCTACACCGCTTTGTGGAGAACCAGTTTGGTGCGTATGCGTACCTGCGGGGGTCCTGGGGCCGCCCTGGGTGGTTGAGGATGCCGCAGAATCAATGACACCGCTCAGAGATGCGCTTGTCATCGCTATGAAAAGATGGGAAATAAAAGAAAACGAATGAGTCACATGGAAGCACCAGGAGCAACGGACGCGATGAGATGCTCTTGGTGGTTCTGTACAAGGCAGGCTACACCGCTTTGTGGAGAACCAGTTTGGTGCGTGTGCGTACCTGCGGGGGTCTTGGGGCTGCCCTGGGTGGTTAAGGATGCCGCAGAATCAATCACACCGCTCAGAGATGCGCTTGTCATCGCTATGAAAAGATGGGAAATAAAAGAAAACGAATGAGTCACATGGAAGCACCAGGAGCGACAGACGCAATGAGATGCTCTTGGTGGTTCTGTACAAGGCAGGCTACACCGCTTTGTGGAGAATCAGTTTGGTGCGTGTGCGTACCTGCGGGGGTCCTGGGGCTGCCCTGGGTGGTTGAAGATGCCGCAGAATCAATCACACCGCTCAGAGATGCGCTTGTCATCGCTATGAAAAGATGGGAAATAAAAGAAAACGAATGAGTCACATGGAAGCACCAGGAGCAACGGACGCGATGAGATGCTCTTGGTGGTTCTGTACAAGGCAGGCTACACCGCTTTGTGGAGAACCAGTTTGGTGCGTGTGCGTACCTGCGGGGGTCCTGGGGCTGCCCTGGGTGGTTGAGGATGCCGCAGAATCAATCACACCGCTCAGAGATGCGCTTGTCATCACTATGAAAAGATGGGAAATAAAAGAAAACAAATGAGTCACATGGAAGCACCAGGAGCAACGGACGCGATGAGATGCTCTTGGTGGTTCTGTACAAGCCAGGCTACACCGCTTTGTGGAAAACCAGTTTGGTGCGTGTGCGTACCTGCGGGGGTCCTGGGGCTGCCCTGGGTGGTTGAGGATGCCGCAGAATCAATCACACCGCTCAGAGATGCGCTTGTCATCGCTATGAAAAGATGGGAAATAAAAGAAAACGAATGAGTCACATGGAAGCACCAGGAGCAACGGACGCGATGAGATGCTCTTGGTGGTTCTGTACAAGGCAGGCTACACCGCTTTGTGGAGAACCAGTTTGGTGCGTGTGCGTACCTGCGGGGGTCCTGGGGCTGCCCTGGGTGGTTGAGGATGCCGCAGAATCAATCGCACCGCTCAGAGATGCGCTTGTCATCGCTATGAAAAGATGGGAAATAAAAGAAAACGAATGAGTCACATGGAAGCACCAGGAGCGACGGATGCAATGAGGTGCTCTTGGTGGTTCTGTACAAGGCAGGCTACACCGCTTTGTGGAGAACCAGTTTGGTGTGTGTGCGTACCTGCGGGGGTCTTGGGGCTGCCCTGGGTGGTTGAGGATGCCGCAGAATCAATCACACCGCTCAGAGATGCGCTTGTCATCGCTATGAAAAGATGGGAAATAAAAGAAAACGAATGAGTCACATGGAAGCACCAGGAGCAACGGACGCGATGAGATGCTCTTGGTGGTTCTGTACAAGGCAGGCTACACCGCTTTGTGGAGAACCAGTTTGGTGCGTATGCGTACCTGCGGGGGTCCTGGGGCCGCCCTGGGTGGTTGAGGATGCCGCAGAATCAATGACACCGCTCAGAGATGCGCTTGTCATCGCTATGAAAAGATGGGAAATAAAAGAAAACGAATGAGTCATATGGAAGCACCAGGAGCAACGGACGCGATGAGATGCTCTTGGTGGTTCTGTACAAGGCAGGCTACACCGCTTTGTGGAGAACCAGTTTGGTGCGTGTGCGTACCTGCGGGGGTCCTGGGGCTGCCCTGGATGGTTGAGGATGCCGCAGAATCAATCACGCCGCTCAGAGATGCGCTTGTCATCGCTATGAAAAGATGGGAAATAAAAGAAAACGAATGAGTCACATGGAAGCACCAGGAGCGACGGACGCAATGAGATGCTCTTGGTGGTTCTGTACAAGGCAGGCTACACCGCTTTGTGGAGAACCAGTTTGGTGTGTGTGCGTACCTGCGGGGGTCCTGGGGCTGCCCTGGGTGGTTGAGGATGCCGCAGAATCAATCACACCGCTCAGAGATGCGCTTGTCATCGCTATGAAAAGATGGGAAATAAAAGAAAACGAATGAGTCACATGGAAGCACCAGGAGCAACGGACGCGATGAGATGCTCTTGGTGGTTCTGTACAAGGCAGGCTACACCGCTTTGTGGAGAACCAGTTTGGTGCGTGTGCGTACCTGCGGGGGTCCTGGGGCTGCCCTGGGTGGTTGAGGATGCCGCAGAATCAATCACACCGCTCAGAGATGCGCTTGTCATCGCTATGAAAAGATGGGAAATAAAAGAAAACGAATGAGTCACATGGAAGCATCAGGAGCAACGGACGCGATGAGATGCTCTTGGTGGTTCTGTACAAGGCAGGCTACACCGCTTTGTGGAGAACCAGTTTGGTGCGTGTGCGTACCTGCGGGGGTCCTGGGGCTGCCCTGGGTGGTTGAGGATGCCGCAGAATCAATCACACCGCTCAGAGATGCGCTTGTCATCGCTATGAAAAGATGGGAAATAAAAGAAAACGAATGAGTCACATGGAAGCACCAGGAGCGACGGACGCAATGAGATGCTCTTTGTGGTTCTGTACAAGGCAGGCTACACCGCTTTGTGGAGAATCAGTTTGGTGCGTGTGCGTACCTGCGGGGGTCCTGGGGCTGCCCTGGGTGGTTAAGGATGCCGCAGAATCAATCACACCGCTCAGAGATGCGCTTGTCATCGCTATGAAAAGATGGGAAATAAAAGAAAACGAATGAGTCACATGGAAGCACCAGGAGCGACGGACGCAATGAGATGCTCTTGGTGGTTCTGTACAAGGCAGGCTACACCGCTTTGTGGAGAACCAGTTTGGTGCATGGGCACACCTGCAGGGGTCCTGGGGCTGCCCTGGGTGATTGAGGATGCCGCAGAATCAACCACACTGCTCAGAAACGCGCTTCGGGTCGCTGAAGACGGCCGAAAGAGGACAGAGAATAAGGCTGACTAAATAAGTAAAGCTCCTAATAATGAATCATGTGCCTACTATATTGGAGCAGCTTTTACAACTCACCTATGCTGACGTGAAAGAAATGAAAGTTATGATTAACATACCTGAGCAAACAGATGGTTCTGCCTCTTCGTGTTCCGTCTCCCAACATGTGTCAGCGACTCCAACTGGGAGGTTGGCGGCACCAAGTAGAGGTGCCTGACTCTAGGAAGGAATAACAAAATGTTAGGTCATCTGACAAATGAGAACTGCAAAGGCCCGCTGAAGTTTATGCAACAGCCCCCTTTACGGCATGAGCCGTATATGGCCCTTCATTCTGAGTGGTCGGCAGAGTGTAATCATGTGACCGTATTTCCATAGCCTTTGACCTTTGACCTCCTTACTGCCTGACCTTCTCCCCCTCACTGGCCTCTCTTTCATATCCACTCATCCCCATCCCATCTCCCTTTTGTTCCCCTTTCTCCCCTTCCCCTCTCTTCCTCGAATGATTGCATGTTCGTGGCTTTCGACCTTTGGCATCGACCTTGGACCTTTGGCTGCTCCTCATTGTCATCTCCCCCACTTCCCTCTACTCCTTCTTCTTTCCTCTCTCCCCTTAATCTTCTCTTTCCTCTCCCCTGCATCTCCTCTTCTTCCCCGCCCGTCTCACCTCCATCTTACTCTTCCTTCACGCTTCCCCAGCTACCTCATCCCCAGTCCCCTCTTCCTTCCGTCCCCCCTTCCCCCTCCTCCTTCCTCCCTTGCGTGATTGTGTGTTCACGGCCTTCGACCTTCATACTGGATTTTCTCCTCTCTCCATCTTCCTCCCCACGCTTCCCTTCCCTCTCGTCCGTTCCCCTATCCACCTCCCCTGTCTATGAGATGATGGCTACCGCCGGTCAGCTCACTTGCACTATGTTGCAATGAGCCGTCACTTTTTTCGTGTGCCGCCTCAGTACAATATATGCGCGCCTCATATTCAATTCGAGTTATGACATGTTTCATCTGCTGCTTGCCATTATTTTGTACAAGATGGTTCGTGTTTGAATTGCAAACACGGAAATCTTTTATGTAGAACATGCTCACTTACCACTTTGTGTCACTTTTCGAGCGGTTCGCTCAGCGGGCTGACTTTCCGCTTTTTTGAAAAGATGCTCGGAACAACCCTTGGTTTCAGTCTTACGCTCTTTGTGGGCAGAATGAAGCTCTTCAGCGCCCTGGGGCTCCTTTTGTAGTCATCATTATGGAAGTGATCAGAGCACAGGCGATCATCAGGCGTCATAACCCACGTGGGAAACGAGGGACATGCGTGGTGGGTCCACACAGCACGGAGTTTATCGTCGGCCGGAAACTTGCGCATCGGCAGCTCGCGATGTGACAAACTGTTGCCACAACCCTCTGCCACACTATAGCGCGGCATCACGGCGTTAAATCCAATGAACCTATTTTAAAACTGTACCAACGCCGCAACAGGCTAACAATCGAGCATTGTTGTCGAAAGAACAAGAGCTAACTTGCGACTCGCAGCAACTAATACCGGCCGTGCCAGAAGCATGCTCGTGTCGTGTCGTGCAAAGAGCTGCAACGAGAACGAGCTCACTGCGGCCAACTACGCCTTGGCTTTTTCCGCCAAGGCTTTGCAAACGCGTTCAGGCCTAGGCTAATTCTGCCGCAGAGCGGCGCTGCTTCTATGCCACAGGTGATGTCACGAAAACTTTCACACTGTCCACCAGATGTGAATTTAAAATCGTTTAATTAAGTTCAAAAATAAGTTCTCCTGTGTTTTACAGCGCGATATTGATATTTCCGAGGTGGTGCCGGTCCCTAGCCCATATTCATGCAAAAAGATTGGTGCTAAAATTTCGTTTCTGTACCCCTTTAAGGGTGCACAGGCAGGTTTGAAACAAAAGTTGACTTCCTTCGAGTGTTTCGTCCACCGTTGTGGTCAGCCGCGAGCTGGAACCATGCCTTCCCAGACTAAACCACGGTTACAAAATATAGAGCCAAATCCAGCTTACATACCCTCTGAGGGTCGACAAAAGGCGATGTATTGGATACTGAAGATCCTGCAAGGGCCTCGTGGCGACGGGCAGCACCAGGAGGGTCATCCAACTGCTGCAAAGCAATCATATTGTGTTTATACCGACATGTGCTGAGCAGGAAATTACTTGGGCTAAACCAAGGTTACAAAATACTGAGTCAAATCAAACTTTCGTACCATCTCAGGGTTGACAAAAGGTGATAAGGTGATATGTTTACGTGTGTTTTTGTGACGTGTAGTTGTAAAAGATCCTTTTGTGTAGTCATTCTTTGCATGAAAAGAATCCTATCAAGGGCATCTGTTAGCCCTTTATTTTTCTACGAGTTGTAACGCCACCACACCTATGTATTTTATTTTCAAGTGTATTTTATTGTGTATATCTCCTGCCTTGGCTGCGTATTAGCGGCCGGCAGTATCAATAAATAAAAATAAAAATAAATAAAAATAAATAAGATCAGGCAGCATATGCTCGTCATAGCTAGCCCCTCGGAAAGTAGTGGCGCTTGTGAAGATGTCTTGAGCCTTCTCCAGCAGATGATCTAGATCCTTGGTGTCAGTTGAGTAGCTCTTTGGCTTTTTGGATCTTTGTTTGTTGGCTTTGACTTTAGGATCGTCTCTGTTCCTCTTAACTTCAATTCCTCTCTTGGCAAGCTCTTAGGCCACTTGAGGATTCACTGAGTACTTCACTCTTCTGTAGCGACTTTTCATTCCAATGGGCATGCTGTCTAGCACTCCTGCAGTCTTTATACTCCGCAACAACTTTTCTTGGCAATGCAGTGGAAGGTACAGGCCCGCGTCCCCTCTCCCATTTTGATTATGTGCGGGCTCTCCTCCTCTCCCCGGAAATGGGGGAGGAGGAGAGCCTGCGTACACTCAAAATGGGAGAGGGGACGCGGGCCTGTACCTTCCACGGCATTGCCAAGAAAAGTTGTCGCGGAGTATAGTCTCACTGCCTCTGCATGTTTCTTCTGCTCTTCACTCAATTCCAGCTCTTCTTCTGGAACCTCTGTCATGGCTCTGGCCACCTCCATGTCTGTGGACTCTTCGGTCGTGTTCTGGGTGGTCCATTGCATAGTCCCATGTGGATCTCCAGCACTGGAAAGTCTCTTCATTGGATTCTCCAGTGTCAGGAATCAGTTCATGGCGTCCCTCTCTTTCAGTGGAGAGGGAGTTGTTCCAGTGCCTCGCTCAGGCACCCACCAAGGGATTTGGATGACATTCTTTGTGTTGTAGATGAACTGGGGATCTGGCAGCTCATTGAGCTCCAGGTATTTGTTGATCTCGGCAACACATTCTTCATGGTTCAGTTTTTTATTTATTTTTATTTAGTGGATACTACAGGCCATTGAAGGCCAAAGTAGGAGTGGGGTACATCATATGCATTCACACATACAACAACAAACAAATAACGCAACATTAAAAAGGTTTACAACAATCAGCTAGCAAATATACAGGATATATATAAAAAAACAAGGGGGGGGGGGGAGAACAGCAACCATCAAGCAGCATGTAGTGCAGTGTTGCAGTAATACAACCTGCCATTCACAGTGTCTGAGTGGCCTTCACCTAGGAAGTGCTCCTTTCTCAGCTTCTGACTCGCCTTGATGGATGCTGCTTGCAGTTGTTTTGTGATGTACGTGAGGTATGGCTTCTCCTTACTTGCCTCATAGACTTCTTGTGAACAAGATGGAAAGTCCTGGTTCAGTCTCTCCCAGTCATGGTTGATCTGTGAGAAGGCCACTCTTGCAGCCTGGATTCTGTCATTCTCGTCTTTCACAGCTGAACTCACAATCACTCCTTGTGACACTAGGGAGAACTCCAGCTGTAGGCCGATCTGCAGTCTCAGAGAGAGTTGAGTCACATCTTCCTCTGTCAGTGGCAAACTGCTTACCTTTTGTCCTGGGCCTACCACAGTGACTGTGAAGATGACAGGCTTCCCCTCTCTCTGCTCTCGCTAAGAGGGGAGCGTCATATCTGGGATGCTTCAACTTGTAGGCCTCCCAGGTCTTCTCTAGGTTCGGGATCTTGGTGGTGGCAAACTCATGAACCAGAATCGCACCATTCTTTTCTTGAATGATGTCTGGAGTGAGATCATCATTGTAGTCATGCAGCGGGGTGAAGAAGGACTTCAGGGGCCTGTCCACGTTCCTGGAAAAGTACCCCGCAGTGTAGTCATGTTTTACGTTCGACATTTTCACCTGCGGCCACACTTGATCCATGATGGATACTGCAGAGAGTCAAGAAGACCCTCTCCACTCCTCTATATCCAGGAATTACAAGCGCAAGTCATGGATGCCTTTCACAGTGGCTTGTACCTTTGGCTGGGACTCCCATCTCTTTGGCTCGAACACCTCGGGAAGAGGGGAGTGCAGTCCAGGTCCGGAGAACCATTCTTCTGAAAGAACGAGGTCGGTCAGAGCCTCAAGTCTGCTCGTGTGCGTCATCCTGTCAGTTGCTGAATCTCTTAATTACTTCTAATTAAAGGCTTGACTATGTGTTCCCCTGAGGACCTTGCTGAACTGCCCCTCCACAAAATTTGGCAAACCTCAAACTCCGCGCTGTTACTTGGACGTAGATCGAGAAGACTCCCTTCTGGTTGCGAAACACCTCTGTGTCGTTCCCACCGGTGCTCTTTATCCGCACGGGGTACAGTCGATGCGCCCGGAGACTTCGGGGAAGTGGGCAAGCGTGTAGAAGTCGCGCATCACCGTGCCGAATTAGGCGGCGCTGGGGAAGTGAACAAAATCCCGTAACAGGTGTCTTACGATCAGTTGTATTACTACTCCCACCGTACAGCACACTGTTGGTTGGGACACATTCACCAGGTCCCCTGTGACAACCTGGAAGGTCCTGGCACCGTAGAACCTCAGCATGCTCGTTTGGAGGGCAGCATCCCGAGCAGCTCTTGCAAGGCTCCCTTTGTAAAGCGGTACCGCGCCAGGAACTGCCTGTTGTAGCACTCCATCGGGTTTTTCCTATCTTGAATTGATGGTCGCGGGACTCTTGGCAAAGGAAACGCGTTCCCGATGACGATATCGCACGCGCGGGATGGGAATTTGAAGGCGGATATCCTCTGTGCGATGTTGCTTCAGGAAGCCGCCATGTTGAAACAACTACGAAGTCTCATTCAAGATAGGTTCAACCGAGCCTTGAAATTTGGTCCCTTCATGTTCGCTTCAAGCTTGGTTCAAGATGGGTTCAAGTTAAGGTGCATTTATGAAGCGCGCTTGCTTGTTGCAAGACGGACTTGAGCAAGTTGAAGCTCGGCTTCAGAGAAAGTCATATCTATGAACTTGGAGGTCAGTGCTCTTGTCCTTGGCTGCACTATGCAGACATCCCAGACCATGTCAATTACAAGTTTAAACTTCCAAAGTTGGTCCTTTTTCTTTGTTACTGACGGAGAGCGGGTCAACAAACCTCAGCCATGAGCGAAGAAAAAAAAAAGCCTATCTCTTAACCTAACATCCCTGATGCAAGGAACTTTGGTCTCCGCAACCCAATACATACATGTCCGGGGGCACTTCAGACACTCCATAACGATGCACACACCTAAGAATTTGATCATATCCTCAGGCGTGGCATTTGCGGAATCAACGCCTATATTGTCCTGCACAACTCTTAGATTGATGTAGAATGCCACCTTGTCAAGAAAGTCTTCATAAAATACTGTGTGAAGTAACTGATGGAAGTCCAGCCATCATGGGCGTCAAGAAGTGAGTCGTCCTCTCAGAGGGTCGTCTAGGTGTGATAAAAGCTACAAGAGGAATTAAAAAATAGATCAAATTCTAGGCACATTTCAGTGTGCTTTTCTTTGTGCAGGTTCTCTTATTTTTTTTATTTTTTATCTAGCCTTTTGATAAGGGCTTAATGTTCTTGCTGCCTTTCTTGGAGGCTCAACATCGGGTTCTTCTGAGTCGGAGGAGCTGGGTTCACTTTCGTGTGCAGTTGTATTGTTAGGACCCGCATAATCTTCATCACCGTCTGACAAGTCCTCGGTTCCAGACGACTGAGCAAGCAGATCCATAATTTCATCCTAAATTAGATAATGAACACAGGTCCATTTTCCCATTACAATATAGATGGCAGCACAGTTGGAATTTTTCCACCGACAGTTTTTCCACGAAGTGTGAAAAAATGCAATTTGCTTGTCTTTACGAAGTATCGTAAAAAACGAATTAACCCTTTATGAGGCCCGAAAAATATACTTAAATCAAGTGTGTTATTAGTGTACTACAGTATAGACCACTTACAATGTAACCGCTCTTAGTGCAGGACCGGGTATAACGCGGCTTTTTTAAAGCACCGGTTCGCCTCCCATAGAACTTCATGTATTTACATACCACTTAATATGCAGGCACGCGAAGGGAAATACCGGTTATAGTGCGGTTTCTGGAACAGCCCGCCGACCGACCAACGCAGCGAGCACGCTTTCCTGTGCGACACTAGATAACGGCGCTAGCCGCAAGCGGCACTCGCGGGGCAAGACGCGGGGCAAGGAGGTTGCTCGAAGAAGCGGGGAGAAGCGAAGAGAGGCTTCAGTTGCCATAGCGACGGAGGGACGCACGCACGTGTCGTTCACGTGCGTGCGTCCCTCTGCTGCGTTGGAAAACAACCGCAACGACAGACCAATTGCAGGTCGAGAAATGTTCGCGCGCGTTACATGCTGGTCACGGGCCGGCTTCTTTTATCCGCAAACATGGCGTCGGTTCTGATCGTTGACGTAGACGGCGTGGTGGAAGCTCATCGTTCCGCGTAAAAGCGCTATCCTTGACTGTGAATTTTTGTTGTGTGTCGCTATGATAACCCAGCACGTACTAGAAGGGAAGATCCACCTACTCGTGCGGCGATGTCGTGGCGGCACTCTCAAGACGGCAGAAACGCCCGTGTCGTCGTGTTTGTTTACTTCGACTACAGTGGTGATTTCTAAGCATTTGTGTTTTTGAACATCGCCCGGATTTCTTATTTGGAACATTTCATGCCTGTGCTCAAGTTGAAGGTATTACTGGCGCGTACCATATAAAGGATGCGAATTTTCACGCGTTTTTATCACAAGAGAAAAGTGATTAGGGTTAGCAATCCTGAATGCTCGCAACGTCCGTCCGCAACCCGTGACGCCGTTAAAAGGCTGCGCCAGGCAAAAGTCGCTAATTTCTTTCAAAATGTGTGACACACTTGAGAGAGAAGTGTACGAGTCTGGTGAAATAAAGACTTTCCTCAAACTAAGCTTTATTTTTCATCTAACAAAATAAATTCTTTTACAAAGGTAAGTTGTCTCATGGCATGTATTTTGGCCTGAAAAATTTATGTTTTGGTTATAGCGTGGTACCTCTTACAGTGCGGATTTTCGCGACTCCCGCGACATACGTTATATGTGGTCTACACTGTATCTGATTTGTGATGACCTCGAGAAGGGCCTCCTAAAAAATGAGTGTGCAACTACATATAGTTTTTAGAAAAAAAGTGGGACATATATGTCCCACCGCTGGCCAGACCAACAAGAAGTGGGACGCCCGTGTTTCACGGGCATGTTCAAGGCCGACTAGAACTAACAACTACAAAAATTATTTTTTTTTATTAACTCAACTTCATTAAATTATGAAAAACACTCGGCAAACAGTTCAGCTATAATTGTTCTAGGAATGTTGCATGGCAAGCACCGCCTAGTCTTGAGGGAGCGCCTGGCGCGCTTTCCTATGTAAATGCCTTTGCAGGCGTTCACTGTTCGGAGTGGAAAGGTGCGAAGCACTCGACGCAGAGTGGTACAGCGCATGATTTGCAGATGTACTGGGTCCTGGATTCTTTGGTCCAGGTGGAGCACCATCTACACCTTCGCCTTTTGCCAATTTTTTGTGCATGATGACCACTCCCTTGAAAGCGAAGCACACTGGGCACTCCAACCATTGCTTGTCCACTTCGCTTGCCTCTTTTCTTGTGCATGAAAGCCGCTACTGTGTGTTTCTTCCTGAATGTCTGACGGGAGATGAGCTGGCGTCCCAACGTTAGTCGAAACTGCATGTAGTCGACTTTTTTCAGTGACCTGTACTGAATAAAGGCATTAACTACAGCAGCGTCAAGCAGGTAGTAGAAAATTCGACACCACCACTTTTTTGACTTGCGGTCTGCTGGGTAAGTGCTCCTCTTGTGATCAAAGCGGTCAACACCCCCGTCCACTTGTTATGGTCTGAAAGCACCTTCGGACAGGACACACCAACTTTGGCACCAGTGGCATGCTTCCACGTGACTTCTATGACTTCTTGTGGGTCATGGTAGTTGGACATCGCATGTACATTCTTGTTGTCGTGCCACTGTGTGGCTGAGACACATCCTTTTGACCACCAGAGGTGCTGGCCTTTCTGAAGCTCGCACTCTTTGTTTAGCTCGATTGGTAGGTCCTTGCGTGTCGGGCTAAATGTGCCTGCAGCCAGCACCCTCTGCTCCCTGAGCTTCTTCATCAGCTTTGTAGATGTCAACTAGTTGTCAAAAAACAACTGACTGTTCCCTTCTATGCGGTGTAAAAGGGATCAAACAACGTGTTCGCCCAAGGAGAGATCGGGGGTTCGCTTGGCATCCTTTCCCTTGTATATCTGGAACTCTAGGAGGTAGCCTGTCTCGGAGTCAGCCCTACACCAAACTTCATAGCCTCGTTTGGTTGGTTTCATTGGCATGAACTGTTTTAGTGAAGATTTTCCTTTGAACGGTATCATGCTCTCATCGATGGACTGATGCGTTGACGGCGCATATTCTCGGGAACCTTTCGCTCAAGGCAGTGATGAGGGGCCTCACTCTTGCCAGCTTATCAAAGCCGTCTTCTCCACGCTTTTCAAGTTCATTGTTATCGAGATGAAGGCTGTTCATAATCGCCTGAAATCGTTTGAAAGTCATGACGTTTGAGATCTCGAAAATGTTGAAGAACTTGTCTGCGCTCCAGTACAAGTACAAGTGATGCACTGGGTGCACACTCATCAAGAAAAGCATGCCCAAATGCGCTTTGAGCTCATCTCTAGTGAGGGTTTTCCACCCTGCTCGGCGTTTCTGATGCGCATAATGATTCGTCTCTAGCACGATTGTGTCAACAACTTCTTCATCAAAATACAATTCAAATGCGTCAGCGACACCTGATGCCTCGGTAAGCTTTTCGGAGTACCGAGGATCTCGATCTGGTGGGTCCTTCACAATCTCCGTAGATAAGTCTGTACACCACGAAGAGCCGGTTGCATCCACTTTATCTTCCTCGTGTTGTGCCTCGGCAAAGCTGTCGACCTCCAATGTGCGTTGTCGGCGTTTTTTGGGTTTCTTCCTTTCATAGGATTTTCTTTTCTTCGATGCAGCAC